TTCCATTTGCTTAAATCAACATCATGGACAGTATTCATTGATTCAGCCATGCGTAACAATTCCATTTGAAAAGCATTGATTTAAAGAACAGCCGACATTTATAAAAACGTATGTCCAAGATGGGTTTAAGAGTAACAGGGCTTAAATAAGCAACATAATCCCCAGAAAGACGTCAGATTGGTTGCCAATAAACGCTGCACTGTTGTGTTAGGCACTGCGTTAAGGATCGTAAAAATCCAATCCAGGTTCACGGTCTAAAGCGCTACATTGTCGTTAACAGAGGGTGCAAGTTAACAATAAGGTCAAATTGACATGGAAACTATAAAAAAATGACTATCACTGTCCTCGTTTGGTAGGTCCCGGCTAAGCCTGATCAACGCTGGATAGCTCTATCCCATGGATAACTGTATCCATTGGATATAATTGTCGCCCTTCGGGTAGTTATCCTGAGGATAACAACCGTTTTTAGCCACTGGATATCAATATCAAAGGTGACAATCCACAGGACTGCACTATCCAGTGTATGAGGAAGTAGACGCAGATTACGGCTGTTCTTGTGACGTGGTGTAGCATCATCAGACTTTATTTTCGACGTTTTGTTAGCTTCACTAAAGCTAGGTACTGGTAGTCTTTTATGAAGTAATTGTACAATTTATCTTTCTTGTTATATGATGTTTCATTAATATATGTTCGATTGATCTCTGTGTCAGAAAGCGCCTTAATATTTTACGCATTTATGCATGTTAAATTCATCATTGTGTTCGACGGGTGACCTCATTAAGGCATTCTGGTGTTAAGTAACAACTGGTGTGAATGCAGCAAGGGAGTACCTTGCATTGATGTTAGAAACGGTATACCACTTTATCGCTCATTAATCTAACCTCTGTATCATGTTTTACCCAATTCGATGTAAAATTAATCTAGTTAGTGGTAACGGACAGTATCAAATTGCCCATAGTCGACCTAACCTTAAAGTCCTTATATTGTAGATGCATAATGTATCGACTGTGGGCACTAATAGATACAATTGAAGAATAGGATCAGTTATCGCTGACTGGATCTCGCCTTATCAAACCCTCACCAGATCTATGGACGCTGTTTCTTGATCCAATTTTTGTGTTTGTGGCGGTCATTTGCTGTCTTGGCGTTAGCACATTTAGACTAGATAACTTAAGTGTGCAATGACTTAAAACTAGGCAGACGGTCTAGTTAAGGGTCGAAGAAGAACAGTCTTGCCTGGATTGATGTTTTATTATTGGGCGAATTGCCAGTCAATCTTTGGCAGCCGATGGAACTGTGTGGTCGACGACTGGCAGACGACCAAACATTCAATACAACCGGAATATCAGTGCATTGGTTAAATGGCACCTGGGCATTGTCTAAAATAACTTTCATTACTCTTATTTGCTTTGAACATCATTTTGAACCACATGATTCACTTTTCTTTTGAATGTGCTCTATGAAATGGACTATTTCGAATAAATCAAAGTGATTATGTTGGGGAATATCATATTAGCCCTCCATTTTATAAAGTGGGTTTTTACTTTATTCTTATATACAATAATGTTAATAATTAAAAATCACCAAAGAAAGATATGTGATACGGTTTTCCCATAGAGCGCAAGGTGTGTCGAACCGTTCATGGGTGTATTCTAATGACGTGTCGTTTCAAGGGAATCAATTAGGCAAATTGGTCGCGCTAAGATTTATTTGTTATTATTTCTTTCCCCTGTGACTGAATACTATTAATTCAGACTTTCACCTTAGCAACGGTTAATGTAATATCGTTTTAATAATAAATCATAAAACAAGGTGACATATCTTCCCCGTGTCGACGTCCTCGGTACTCGCGAAATGTGTCAAAATGATAGATGGACAAACGTCCTTCCGTGATAAAACAACTTTTTCTTAACCACTGCTGATTGGAGCCCAAGTGAAAACGGGTTTGACTAAAAGGGAATTTTAATGAAATATGATTAACACATTAAATCTTTTCTTAAGAGGCATATCGGGTTTTACTCCCTACATGTTTTCGACCATCCATCAATGAGCCTGAATTGATCACATGACCGACACATTTCACTGCAATAGTTTGATTTTTACCATCGTTGTATAAGAGACAATGGATTTCCCGTTCCACTGTATAATCAAATAGTTTTTGATAAAGTATTTTTTACTTGAATATATTAATATATTATTGTCTCCAAGGACAAACACAAACACCAGTATTTCTACATCATCTGCATTACTTTCTTTCCCTGCAAATTATACTGAAAAAGTACACCTTTTAGGTTAGGACGGGTTACTTCTCATATTGATAAATTGTGTATCCAAAAATCCAAAAAAAAAAAAAAAACACATTGGGGGGCACTTTTAAAAGCTATTAAAGCTTTTGTTTTAGATTATCCGTACGTCGGAAGCCTAAAGCGGGTAAACCGTATCACTGAATTAAGTTCAAATCGGCCACAGATTTCGTCAGATAACTTCCCAAGGCAGAAAAAAAGTATAATGTACAATCGATTGGGGCAAAGAGGGGTTATATTAAACAGCATGGGATACGTCCTGTAATCAATTTAGCACTGATTCCAATTACTGTGGATTCAAAAGGGTCATTCTGTAGTCATGTCGGTTGTTATTAGTGAACAACAAAACTGATATGATTTTGTTTCATTTAAAAGGCGCGGTGACGCCTGTGAAATACTGCACTGGCGTTGACGATGTTTTGCTCTGCTTACATAAAATGTATAAAGAGCCATAGAAAATAGCCATCTACATGTATTATCAAAATACCAAGATTTAGAATTGCCATTTATAGTGTGATTGTAACTCAGAACGTAACGATACCTAACAATACATTGCCGTGCGCGGGTGGGCCGTCTCCAGGTAGTCAAATATACGTGTACGTTGCAACGGAGGTATCGATTTCCCTAAAGTTCAAGAAGCCAATAGAAAATTCAAATATGTTTGGATGTCTTTGATTAAAAATCGCTACCAATAGATGTAAAGATGCGGTATATCAAATAATGGATATTGTGTGGTACCTGCGGTGGTCTAGGATACCTTAGATTGGCCTTGCACTCTCGTCCCCTTTAAAGTGGTGGTCCTGACAAAATTTGATAGTCAACATCAAATTGATACACCACATTGATGTTTTTTAATCTTTTAATAGTGCTGCCGTTTCTTTTGTTACAATTTTTTGCGAGTGGTCCAAAAAGTGTTCTAAGAACGGTCACAAATTCGGGTTAACGGGGGTTTAAGTCTAATCTTTGTAATTTTATCATTACCCGGTACTACATGTAGCAATTTCTTACGTAAGTGGTGGCCTTTCTTCATAGAATAAGAACACTGGCAGAAAACGTCATGTTATGTAAGCCAAACGGTATTTATCCCAAAGAAATGTCCTCCTTTGGGATTTTAAAAAATGTCACTTGGACCTCATATTGGCATTGATTGACGTCTGTAACGAGAACAGTGTCTTTATAATTCAGTTGTTACCATTAAATTAACGTGATATCTAATGACATTTGTCAGTGTGTGCCTAATTTACCACAATGACAAAAGGCAATTGAATTGAAATACGTTTGATAAATCAGTTTTTGGTTTTGTCTACCGGGATTCGTCATTATACAGTGCGCGGTACTAAGTGGCGGTTTATAAAGTCTAACAACTATTTAGCTCCCAACAAATCTGACTTTCTTAAAAAAGCGACACAGGCAACATAAGAGTGGGGATTCTGAATAGATGTGAAATATCTTCTAGATATATGAAACACATACAGATATCTGGACGTCACTTTGAGTGGGTGACTACCTCCACGCTTTTGTCCCAAAGGAATATGCATCGAACAATAAACATAATGTAATAATTGTGATTGGCTAGAAATATACGTCTAATCCGTAAACCAGATGACAATTAAAAACTGATACAGTTAATGAACTTTTTAATCTAATTTAATCGATCGTGCCGATGTTTCATTAGTATATACTGTGAGCATTAGTTTAAACTGGTATATATTGGTGAAGTATGAAAACTATGTTAACGGTATCTTTATCAATTATTAAACTGATTATTAACTTTTATTCTATTTACGTGTGCTAATTATATTGTGACCGCTCAGTGACATATTTGCATCATGTGTACGTATCTGGACATGATGTAACATGTGTGATGGATGAATTATTACTAAACCATACATAAAAAAGAACGGAGAAAAAAGGTAAAAGAGACCCTTGTGGTTGGCCATTGTTAGACAAATCACACGTTCAACAAATGCCACTTGTCCCAAGTGTAATGTAATTGGAATGCTGTGGCCCATAACGTTGGTATTAAGGCTAATGATTACGATGTTTTAACTTGTTTTTGTCTTAACGAGGTGATCATTCAAAATAACGCGCTTGTTGAGTGAGGACATGCGTTTCATTTATCCTGTTGTTGCGTGGAGGCTATTTTAGGGGTCGTCATCCTGTACTCGACGGACTGTATCGTGAGAGATCGCTGTTAGACAAATTATTTTTCAGAAGACAGTCATCATTTTCTCGGAATTTCACGTATCGTCGCATAGATGATGAATTGAGCTGCAATTAAGTTTGTTTGGTTTGTCTGTTTATATAACAGAGACCAGGTTCGATAGGCATTTAAACAAGCGAAGGTTGGGGGCGCGAAATCAAGGCAAAATGAGTGTATTCAATATTGTTTGATATTTTTTTGTGGGCATATACATGTACATATCTGCAGCGCAGTGGTATCCTTCCCATAGTAATTAGATTTCATGGATTCAGATATGTGAATGATTATAAGCAGACGACCCCCCTATGATTGGTCCATTCCCGACTTACGTCCAATTCCCAGCGTTTTGTTTTTCACTCAATACAGAATAAGGTATCTCAACACAAGTCGATGGAATCTCCAAATTTTTCTTCGCAAGACTTGTCACATGCGACATCTGGTGGCAGTATGTCTTCTATGACTGTATTCAGTCAACAGGCAAGTGATGAGCTGTGGATCTTTGTATATAACTCTGCAGCCCTTTATTATTGACCAGGATAACGAGGCGCAATGCAGGAATAAGAGTGTTACCGGCAACACAGAGCCTCATTGATAAGACAATTGAAGAGCAGATACCGTTCAAATCGGAGTACTCAACTACTAAAAGAAACCATGGCGCCAGTAAGCTGACGCTCAGAAAATAACAAAAGGCCTTTGGATAAACTACGTACATAAGACAACACTTGGAGTAGAACTGTACGTATTCCATGCTGTGCATGTTTCAAAATGACGATGATAACGTGAATGCTGTTTGCCGTCAGGTGTATTTCGTCTTTACTCTATTAATGGTAAGTTATACTCGACGTGATTTTTCAAAATCAAATAGAATAATGAATAGTAATCCCGTGCGACTATATATTTGATCAATGTCGAATGGCGTGCAATTTGAAAGGTGCTGTTATTGAACGTCTCTGAGTGAACAATATGCTGATTGGGAGGCAATTGGAACCTATTGGTAGACAAGCTTCAAGAAGTGGGTATAGCCAGACATTATAAGATAACGGTGGTACATTGCAGCATGCAGTAGAGAGTACAGCTAACTGTTCGTGGTCGAAGGTTGAAGGCTTTTTTCTTGTTGTTCTTGTTGTTGTTGACGGAGGTAAAAACATGTACTACAAGGCAGATAGTCGTGACGTGCAAAGGGCTTTATAGCCGTATGTCACTAGATCAGTTTTCAGTGTATTATATGGACTGCTTCGAATTGCATCTTCAATCGGGAAATTGAAACTCACGCGTGGTCTGTTTTTATTTTATTTTATTATTTTTTTTACTGCCTTAAGTATGAAAAGGATTACATGTTATGTAACAAAGCCACTCAGCGGGCGAGATTAAGCTTGTTGTTTTATGGTAGCGTATGGTGATTCTTCTACACATACATTGCAAGTGGCTGTGTTTGGAAACTGTTCCCTAAATGCGAAGATCGAATTTTACAGTTTGTGATTTACTGTGTCATTCTCAATTGGGAAAATGAAAGTAGGATACAACCCCTGCCTCAAATATATTGCTTTTTTTAGCAGGTGCCGTGAAAGGATTTCACAAACAAACCTTTTATTTCGCCAATGGTTGCTAATATATATTGTATTTCGATTGCATTTTGGAAGCTGTAAATTACCAACTCGTGTTACGAGGTTATTGTTTTAGGATAAACACACCACAACTTCTTTACTTTGTAAAATTAGACTTACATAATAACTTAAATAGTAGGATTAGGTTGACATTTATTACCAATTGAGTTGTAAAACACATGACAATGCTTAACTGATATTTGGAAACGGGTTTTACATTTGACGACGATATGTTAAACAGCCCAATGCTTTTAACATTCAAAGCTTTTAACATTTTAAACATTCATAAGGCCTCGTTATTTATCTAATTGAAAAAAGAGCTAATAATTGATGTGCATATCCCAACAGTAATGAGCGGAAGTATTGTGCAGAGACACGCGTGTGACTTCCGATCCCTTAAAGTGTTTGAATGTCAGAAAAGAAAGCTCGGATTGCTGCTTTGAAATGTTCGACAACGAACAACACTTTAAACAGAACTTGAGGATCTTTAAATGGATCTGTGGCGCCAGCAGAATCTTATTAAACGAATGTAACTATAAACTAAGTGAAATGTGTCATTAAATCTGTATTAAGATAAGTGGGCACACTTGTCTTGGCGACGGTGGCGGCTCCTATTAAATTAAGCGTGCATTTCGCTTTCAGTTGTCTCCTAGCGTACTGTAGATCATGTGTCTTGTTTAATCACGTAGACTGTGCTTGTTCAAGTAGATCGATTTGTTTGATCTGATATTGGTTTCTGATGAATATGTTCAGTGTTTCTTTGCCATGACATTTTGACGCTTCGAATATGCCCAAGTCTGATATAGCAATGTTATAGAATCGCCAACTTACTAGTAATATTTAATTCAGTCACCTGAATTTTGTATAATGATTTGGAGTTTCAAATGCATATCAGGTTGCTCCAGGTGCATCATATATGTTTAGATATACGATAGCCGTATTGTTATGAACACATTAATCTTAACGACACGCCCAGATATGTCTCATATCTACTTTACATGAGCTGTATGAGTTTTACTGCATGATGAAGTCCAAATTACGCTTGGTCATGAGATCCGCACGGTTCCTATAGAATAGATCGCAAAGGATGCTCATATTCCTGCTGCGTCATTGATACCTTTGTCACATTTAATCAATACAAGTAAATAAGTGATTACTTCGGTAACAAACAGTTTGTTTTTATGTATATGGCAGCCCACATGTACCGATATATAATATGTGTTCGTGACACCTTGCCTTTCCACCGGCATCGCTTGTTGCGGATGCTTCAATAGTGTTTCTAAAAAGGGATAACGCAGTCTGGAAACAACACGCAACGATTTTAGCATAATTCGTTTATACTTCACCCGTGGCTCACTTTCTTTCCTAGAACTTAACAGCCAACAGGACCATTTCAAAACAGAGTTATAAACGCAATTCTTACCACAGCATATCATATCACAATTTATCGACTAAAAGTCTAATAAAATCACCGGGAAATGGTCTAATCTATAAGGTCGGTGATATTGTAATAACTTTTCGCCTATGTAAATACCACTGGGCTCGGCACATTGCCTTATGTCAACACTCCCCTATTGACAAAAAGCTTGCGATCAAATTATATCTCTGGGTTCAGAGCTAATTTCAAACTTCACTGTTTGCTTCGGAGTGTCACTTAGGTCAAGTTAAGAAAAAATCAGAACATAACCCGACAGCAGTCGGTCATATGGATTACAAGGTTCATTGCACTGGGTGCAACATTGCACTATAATGCTGTCCGTCTTATGTGCTATACCATGGACCTGATAGGTGGTTTATTTTGAGAGTGTTTTTTATGAAATTGATATCCATGTAAATTTACCTTCATTTTTTGTCATTTCCATCTATTTATTGATGCGTTTAAACTGTTTTGTACTTATCTGTTCCGATTGGTTTGTTTTATCCTTGATAAATCTACGAAACATTTTAAATGCATTTAAGACTTTAAATAAATACCGTACTGTTATTATAAAGTAAGGTTAGCCATACGGTCGGTGACAATAATGCATATACATTTCTACCTCACGGTAGCCAGTGACCAACAGGTGGGCACGCATGACCTTTCCAAGTAGATATAGTATCTACTGTACCTTACTTTTGTTAATTTTAGTCTGTTAAGATAATTTGGGATTTATTTTATTCCAATCGATTAGTTGAATCAATACCATGAAGCTATGTAAGACAGTGTGTGTATAAAGCAAATGAAGAAAAAGAAGAAAATTTGGGATTTATTTTATTCCAATCGATTAGTTGAATCAATACCATGAAGCTATGTAAGACAGTGTGTGTATAAAGCAAATGAAGAAAAAGAAGAAAATAGCACCGTCTGAACCGCAATGTCGCACATTTGTACATATACACTTAATCACAAGGTAGCTAATGAAGTTGTCTCCTTCGAAGAGTAACTCTCATTTATAAATGTCTTTCCATGAGATCCATGCACCATTTATATAAGTACATTTTACTGCCATGCCTACTGTATCATTAGATGCGCATTGAGAACACTCTGAAGCAAGGAAACCCCCATCCGACATTCACGCAAAGGCGTCGGACAAGATTCCTTCGTCATTTGGTTAAGGTTTGCAATAATATCACTTGGATTTATTGTGGTTAATGTCCAAGACAGTTGTATGTTAATACAATCTGTTCATCATCAGCTTAAATATGTTGTACATATGGACTGTTTTCATGTTCATGGTATGAGTGACCTCTGTTGTCACCGGCGACTCATTACAGTAAGAACCGTTGAAATGTTAGTAGATGCATCAAGCTGTTTAAAACTGTTTCAGGAATGATTTGATTTAACTAACTCTGACATGTCAGATCCCACGCTACGGACTGTGTGTATTCTGATTTGTCTCTTCTCTCATTTCCCTCAACCGATGCATAAAGCTTTGTAACATATTGGCTGGGGCTGTCCCTTGTGGATCGAATCCGTCTTCAATTCGCAAAAGATGATTGGCATACATCATTTGGGAGCCTTCAGAAAGAATCAGGAAACCGCCGACGCATTAAAAACCTTAATTTGAAAGCTGTAATATTTAGCTTCAAGGTTTCCCTTGGCGGTAGGCCTCTACTTTCCTAGTTTCCACTAGCCCATTTTGGATCAACTTGAATCGACCCCAGTGCCTACTTTTCTGTTAATATCAACTTCAGAGGTGGGGGATGCGACTTCATCCAGATGGTGCGTGGCATGTAGATCTCAAGTTGGATTCAACGCTGTCCGCGTGTTGTCCACTCGCTACTGTGGAGTCGAGCATCTCCAAGTGAGACGACACTTTAATCGAATTTGGACGTGATCTAAAACAGCGCAGTATGAAAGTGCTCAGACTTCTTCTCTCTCTGTGTCTGCCTTCACTTATGACGGTCTTGGAATGGATGAAATGCGACTGATACGCATCAACCTTCAGGATTTGTGGATTTTGTCCTTTAACAGCTCTGACTTACGGGTGCGTTCAATTTCCTGCAACTTGTCCTCAAAAGCACCATGTTTTCCCGAAAATAGCATATTTTGCTACATTTAAAGAATACGGCATATTTTACTGTGTACTTGTAAAAGGGTTATTAAGTATTATATTAATTGTTTACATCCCTTTATTAAATCCCAAGCCAAAACTTAGCACGATTTGAGATACAGAAAGGTGACAATGTTTCACTATAGTAGATAGACATACAGTTCCACCCAATTTGTCTTACATTGTTACATCGAATACTTTGATGATGACTACTTATGATTTTGCTTTGATGTATTCTACTCCATTTTTCCATCCCATTTACGTGACTATTGTAGATAATGCCTTGACCTTTTAGAACACAGCAGTCACTGCTGCTTATAACAAGTATAAAATGCTGTTCTGATCGTTCACAATCCCTAATAGAACTCGACGGGATTTCAGGCAAACAAAAAATAATTCGTTATTTAAAGCAGCAGATACAAGCTACCATGGAATATGTTTGAAGGCATGTTGAGTGACCCAAATTTAAGCAAAATAATTAATAATTTAAACAACTTTATTGTCAAGGGTTTCACAATGGCACTGGCGACGTTGCATGGTAAAAACATGCAATTTAGTCTTGGTGGTTCACTATGTTATAGAAAACAAAAACGTATATGATGGTTTATGCTGACTCCCTGGCATTATCTAAATGTACATGTTCTAGATAGAAACAGCACAAAGCTAAATATTGGTTTTCTAATACTTGGCAGTCAAACCATATTTTAAGGGGGTTTAACACAGTGTTTTTTTTAGAGCTTGCCGTTCAAGTTCTATTTAAAATCACTTTTTACTTTGATATACTGTTACATGTATATTTGATTATATATATATATATATGCTTTAATTAATTGTATTATCTGTGTGCGTGTAGGAATGGTGGCGCTTGATTAAGGATGAGGGTGCGCGCATATGTGTATAAAAATCCACCTTCAATAGACAGCAAAATTTCACAGAAACCCATCTGAGGTAATTGGTTTGAAATAATTCCACAAAATATAATGTTCCATCTTACTAGAATCAATACTTTGAAGTTCAAATCAACAGTCTGAATTCTATCAGCCGCGACATGTTGCAGGGTTAATACTATTTGATGGATATGTATACCTGTATTGTATAGTTACTTTGCAATGGTAAGTGCTGTATTGGTGAATCGGAGACATATGAGACTCCATTCAATATTCATTATGAAATATTATACTCCCACATCTTGTCAAGGCCCCTACCACTCCTGCACTGACATCATAATAAATAAATAACGAGTTTTATAGCCGCCATTCAATATGTCACCGGTGACATAGCATGAAAAAAAAATAAACAAAGGCTGTTTTTCATCATCGTCTAATATTGTCGGTGTCAGATTTTTTGGACGTGTTGACATCTCTTAAAATATTTAACAATTAACTGGGATATAATTGGACAAGCCTGGGAAAGCTGCAATACGTATTGGGGGCTGTTGTTAATCCCAGATAAATAGAATTGTTTGCTTTAGAAGTATTTGGCTTTATATATAAATACTTCTAATGAAATATGCACTTTCATGACATATTATTATTATCTGGTATTGATGGTGAAAAACAGATGGTTGGAGTCGCGGTGTTTAGATCCTTGATCAATGCCCTTGATCAATGACCGATTCCTCGCAGTAGGTCCTGGCATTAGGAAGCGCGAAGACAGGTTGAATCTCCCCCCCCCCAACGCTGACGTCACTCAGCACACACCTGCGTACACATTAGGAGCGCATTCAGAGTAGCGGACTTACAGATCCGCGGATCAAATATGGCCGACCCATATTACTTTCGTAATCCCTGCGGGGAATCTATTCAATGTCTAATTGGGAATTAAGCGGCAAGTTTTTAGTGAGTTGCCATATTTGATCCGTGGATCTGTTAGTCCGTTGTTCTGATTGCGCTCCAACACGCACACAAGTTATACATGTAGGTGCAACCTCGCAAAAAGTCACACGCTTACCTACCTCTAAGTTTAAGTCTAAATACTTCGAAACTCAGTACATAGCAACATGTATCGATATTTTGATGTGAAGATGTCCTTTACATTTGAAAATGATATATGGCTCATTCCTAACTCCCTTGCTCACCAAGCGAAAAACACTTGCCCATATATCCCGCTTTATTTTTAATGTCTTCTTGGCGCCGTCTCTACGGATGCTTCCATGTTGCGTGACCTAGCTCTGCCGCATACAACCACGTGTAAATATTTTACAGGAATCTTCATTTCATAGCTTTGACTTCAGTGATGATGGTGATGATTATGTTCTTATATTGTTTCAGAGGCCAGGTACAAGTTAGAAGAGTAAAAGACTGAAAGACTACATGAGTGACGTTCTTAATAAGACCCTGGGGAATAAAGTGAAAATAATCCGGATCTGAAGTCACATGCATGGTCCAATGAGGTAGGTCTACATATTGTCATCATATTGCCTGGTGATTTTAATGACAAATATTTTGCAGTTTACCAGTATATACAGTGGGAGTGATATATGCACTCGCAAATTGCTCCATGTGAGTGTCATGATGTATTGGCACGTGCTGTAGTCAGGAATTAGTAAGTTAAAGTGTGGTCGTTATAGTTACAGCCCAAACTTGGTTTTGGTGTTTTGGTGTTTCTGAGCGGTTGTTAATTTAGATGAATAATGCATCTTCAGAGTTGTGTTATTATTCAAGTAATGTTTCTCAACCACTGACCATGACACACGTCTTAGGCCGCGTTCACAACCAATTGATCTGCGGACTAACTAGTTCGCGGATCAAATATGGCGCGCACATGACAGTGGATTCTCGCCTTCCGCTCTCGACGTCCCACCAAGTTAGTTCGCGGACCAACTGGTTGTGAACACGGCCTTAGTGTTATCATCATTTGTTACCAACAAATATCAAATGTTTAGAATAATATGACGCTAGGTTACTCAGTACGCAGTTTCCTTAACCCTCGAATGCAAAGACAGCGCTGTCTTTATTCTCATTCCAGCAATATAACAGACGCGAATAAAAGAAAAGATTCATTAAGTGCATCTGGTCTTCTGCATTATTCTTTGAGTAATGACGTATGGTCATATTTTATATATGATGTGCCGCATCACAATATCACGATCCATAACACGCAATCTGTTCAAATAAGCTGTATATTTCTCTTTCTTTTTCTCTGTTAAAATACCCATTCCTTATAGAAGCGGGGTGTTTGCCAAGCTCAGATTAAACGTTATTATATATACTAGACATTACTGATGCGTGACAGAGTGTTGTCAATGTCGCTTGTTTTTGTATCTTTCAGCATTGAGGTAGACTGGGTAATTGAGTTTGTTTTAAGTAATAAGAGCATGCGGGTGGTACCGATGATTTATTGTCTATTCACTTGTTGCGTGAACAAAAATGTATCAATAATTGAAGGCAAGGGGGAAGTATGCATACAGGGTTTCGTATAAGATGATATAAGAGTGAGGACAGGACTATTGTAAAGCCGGAGAGCACTGCATTCTACTGGTTTACCTAATGACATAAATATATAACTAGCGAGAGGGGGTCCTGTAAACGCATTGACTGGAACTACATTATCCCGTTAAGTAAGAGACGGAAAGAGAGACGAGGAGAAAATATTCGCTGTGTAAGTATACATGTAGTGCATTTTACGTGGTATTTTGGGTATGACAGTGGTGAGGAAATAATTTCTGCTTTGAATGATCGTGGTGGCTAGCGTTTGTTTTATCATCTTAACCTGGAGAAGCCTCTAGGCGGAAGAGATAGGATATATGTCGATTACCTGCCAGTAACAGTAGGATATTGCGTCAGATTTGGAGACAAAATGTTATGGAATGACATCCTGCTTTTGGTGCCGCGTTGCGCTATTGTGAAAAACAACCTTAATTTATGTACAGTTCCTTTCTCATAATCCACTATAAAACTATGCTTGTGGTGCCGCATTGCGCTATTGTGAATAACAATCTTAATTTATGCACTGCTCCTTCCTCATGTTCCACTATGGCAATTAAGATCAGCGTCTTTAAGACACTTTCGTATCATTCTGGTCCGCGTTTTAGACGGCTGTTAATGAGAGGATGTGGCTAAGTTATATATACTTAAAGGTGTTATGTGACCATAGTGATAGGTTTTATTCTAATTTAGGGGCGTTTCTCAGTGCATGTACACGTACTCAGCATTTGCATGTATTTCAAACAATACACTGCCCCCTCGCAATATATGCATTGAACAACTCTCACTAACGTTGGAGGTGATCTAGCATATTTCGCTCAGGTGACAGTGCATTATCTCACACTTATTTGAAACCAACCACCAAATGCGTTCTAGTTAACGACTTGACTTAATCAAAGTAAGTATTGGCTCCATTGTGCGCGTACATTTTATTCATGCTGGCAATAAGTATTGATACTATGTGAATTGTGACACGTTTGAGAAGCCTTAGTTTGAAAAGAAATCTATTGTGCGAAGCTGTTAGTCACGTCTGTCTGATTGAATATCAAAGAGCTAAAGAAGACCGAGATGGCTTCTTAAAACAGGCAATTGGCAGCGACGTTAATGTTTTTGAATTGCTAGCGACGTGTGCGTTAATCAGACCTAAATGGATTTGGCATTAAGTCATTGTAACTTGACGGCTTGAAACAAAAATTACGCTTTGTTGAGCCCAGTTTATTAAAACGTATTGGCAAGAGGACATAGTATAGACCCTATTGTAAATAGATTATCAAATGGTACACGTTAATTTGCTGCAGGTGGCTTCGACTGAGTAAATTTGGAGTGTCACAGTCAACTGTACCGTTCTGTATTTATTATAACTTTACTTGGACTTACCAAACATCTACAATTTGTCAATCTTTATTTACAACAGATCCCCCCTATTAATCACTTCTTGTTCTTTTTTTTTGTGAATTTTACACTTGCTGAACAGTTTATGCCGCGTGTCTACGTCTTCATTGTGCATGTGAAGAACCCATTTTACATGCTCTGTCAGCGACACGTTCAATTTGTTAGGGCTTGTCAATGTATGAATGGGGAAATGCGGTTGATCCATTATTGCAACCCTGTTAAGTGCCTACGTGAGCAATTACGGACGCCACCTTGGTAGATTGTTGTAAAGAATTGGACGAGCCTGGATGGCGTTAATACAAATCGTTATTCTGTAAGCTTGGGTAACCGCGTGACGAGCGTAACGAGCCTCAATCACTCATAAACTTAACATGAAGTTCTATATCGATGTCACTGCGACTGCTTACTTAACACTGAATGGAGATGCTGTTATTGCCGTGCGTATAATTTTCATAAGAAACTAGGTACTTTTTATCCTCATTTATTTATTTATTCTTTATTTTTGGGGCCCAGTGCCATTTTACACATTTTTTCGAGGAAGACAAACTATTGTTCTCAAGTTGTCGACATCCATTTTGTATTGATGACATTGTATAAAACAACCCCAAATAGTGAAGGAAACCCTTTAAACCTGCCTTTTGTGCACACTTAAGCCGACATAGCGAAATGCATGGCCAAAAATTATGTTGCACTTTTATCCAGCTACAACCATGATCTGAATGTCGCAAGTTGCATTTTTGTTGACATGCAGATATATTTTATATTTCGATACGAAATTGATTTTTGTGTAGGGGTGAATATGAGACCCTTTCGCTTACCTCGTATTTTGACATACGTTGATTACCATAAAGTATTGGTAATTTGTAACCCTTGTTTGACACGATTTTGCATTACCACGATGTTTTTACGAAAATCACAAAGGGAAACACGAAGAAATGAAATCACAAAGTAAAATTACAATGAATAGATAACTAAAAAAAGGTTTTACAATTGTTGATTTCTATGAAGTATATGTACCTGTATTTTACGGTACCCTTGTAGAAAGCTTCTGAATTATCAGTTTTGGCTTTCATTATGGATGTGCGTCATATGCAGCGATTTGGATTTGCTGTATCTTAACGTAGTGTGAACTGGGACTTTGGCTATCAATTATGCTGCATCGATTGTTTCCCGGGGAGGTGGGGGAATGCATAAACAGCGTCTCTATCTTTCTTATCCTAGACCATCTTTGACTTTTAATGGAAAGACGACTTGATAGCTAATGGCATGAGCAATACAAGAGCGATCTTCCGCAAAAGACCTTGCATGCAGTTGGCCTATCTTGCTTAAAATCAGAATTGCCACGGCAAAGCCTAGTTAGGACAAATTGAGATTCCAAGGTCAAAGTCAATGTTCTTTGAAAAATTTTGTTTTTTTTATGGCGTTGCATATCTTTGACATATTAGAGATCCAAATGGCCATGCCAGCTGTAGAAAACCTGACGACTATTATGCAATGAGCGGTATTTTGTTCATAATTCCCCTTTCTTTGGCCAGTATATTACACTTGGTGGCCTTGCACAGATTTTAGTACAATGATTTTTTTTATATGAACATGGTAAGAGACTGTAGCTTGACGGTTGTGTAATTTAAAAAAATCAAGAAAAAAATGTAAAGTACACCTTCCAATTAACCTCAATAACAAAATGTTTAACATAACCGATGTCTTGCTAGATATACACTTCATCACCCAGGCTAGCAGTATTTTACTCGTGTTCGGTTTTGGAGGAGGGGGGCTTTCTTCGAGAACATCTACGTCACACTGGCCAATATGTATCTAAAATCAAGGAAATAACGAAAAAGTATGACATATAACCATCATTACCTTGGAGTTTATCTCGGCACATCACTCGCTTCTACAGCAGGGGTCACGGAATTAGCATACCAGTTCAATAAACATACGCAAAAATCACGTTAGTCCCACTTATGAGCCGAACGGCACGATATTGCCATTATCTTTCTAACATTCTTAGAAATTCTGAATGACCCAGTGAAAATACACAAAACTCCATTAACTGGAGCCAAAACTCCAGTATTGTTACAGTGTATAAAATTTCTGCCTGATGGTTCTCTCAAATGTCACGGTTGATGTTGTTGCTTTCTTAAGTGCATGTGTGGATATCACTTATGCTATCGAAAATGTATAAGTTGTATAAGTCTCCTGCATTAAAACATGTATGCGTGGCAGAGGTAGGTTTATTATTAAAGTGCATATAATGCCTGCTGTGGGTAAAAGCTATTTGTTTCAATTACCGAATACACGTGTGTATTAGCAGATGAAATGCTGTTGAAAGTTGGCTTTATTTGTTGAGCAACTCCAAGGCCACAAGATGATGATGTTGTTATTATCAAATAAAGATTGATCCAAGTGTTTTGTTTGTATCTCTCCTCATTAATGTGAGAAAACGAATTGATTTCCGAAAGGTAGTAATCAGACACAATACACCGACCCCATTATCTGTTTGTTATACGAATACTTAATTCACAATTGTAGTCTCACGGTCTTATTTAAAGGAACTGGCTTACACATCATAGAA